TTAACAAATTTGTAGGCCTCTGTTGCCAAAGGGATGGACCCCACTGCCACACGGAAAGTTTTGGAAGAGTTTTTTTGAGACTCTACCGCGTGCGGTAAGGTTGGGCAAACTATTGCGTTGTTGTTTCTACTCTTTTGTTTTCTTCTCAGCAGGGAGTAAGACAGTGCTGGAGAGTTTTAGAAGGGTTGCTAGGGATACCACAGGTTTTTTGAGCATTTGTAGGACATCTGTGGTGGCGTGTTTTTTTTTCTTCCTGTAGTTTGTCGTAGTAAATTTCTAAGTACCTCAAGATTTTCTCAAAGTTCTCTCAGCCAAAGCCGGGTAATGGCCCCGGTATCTCAAACTTTCAAAATTCGATGTAAAGTTCCATATGGGATGCTGGGCCCGGTTCCCAGCACGTGCTGCTCCCCACGAATAGACTGGAGCCTTGTCCTAATAACAAAAAAAAAAAAAAACTCTTTTGTTTTCTTTTTTTTCCCTTCGCTTTCTAGGCATTCCATCCAATCCCTGTGCCTCCTTTCCGCCCAGGGTGGCTCAACTGAGAGAGTACCCCCCCCCACCCCCCATTGAGCCATCCCGTGTGGAAAGGAGGCACTGGGATTGGATGGAGTGCTGTAAAAGCGGTAGTCTACTTGCCCTTTTGGGAAAGGTTTCCTGATCCAGTAACAGGAAACTAGGAAGGTCCCGAAAATTGCTGTGGCGGTGCGATCTGTCTCCTCTTTCCTGTTCCCGTAGGCGGCTATTTGTGATTTCCAACATTTCCAGACATTTCCAAAGCGCTTTTCTGTGGGGTCCGTCCCTAAGAAAGGTAAGGTAACGGTGTACCTTTCCCAGCCAAAGAATAAAATATGCGGTGTGCATGCAGGTGCAACTTTTGGGGCTCGGCCTCTGGAGCAAAATGGCTGGTGGCGCCATCCAAAAAGAGCCCCGTGCCGCTTCGTTTTTCCTTGGCGCGCAGGGTGTTCACAGCCCCGTAGAAACATGCCTTTGCCCTGCGCACCAACGCCAGCCATTTGCTCTGGGGCCCCCTGTGCACCAACGCCAGGCATTTGCTCCGGAGGCCGAGCCCCGAAAGTTGTGCCTGTATGCAGGCCACATATCAAACGTACTGGTACTGCCAGTTCCCCTGACGGAGAGTACTGCCCTTGCAACAGCATTTCGATTCGGGCCTTGGCTATGAGGGTCGCAGAAGCCACAGGCCACTTTGAAAAGGCACAGTTGCAAGGCTCGTGAGCCTTGGAAGGTAGCTTAGCCACTTTAGGCTCCTGTGAACTAGCGTCGTCACCCAAAAAAGAACGAGGTTAGTGGGGAAGGAGATGGTGGGGTATCACGGCCTACTAGCGAGGGGGCTTGTGATAAGCTCAGATCCGTACCGCACGGCTTGCCGTATCCCTGGGGAAAAATCCCGCGGAAGCCCCGAAGTACGGGCGTGGATAGAAAGGGGTTTTCTTTCTTTTTGCTTTTGTTTTCTTTTTGAAACGGCTTTTCCATTTTGTTTGGTTAATAACTCCCGCGGGCAAATAGCGGCCGCGGTATGAAAACCAAGAAACGGGTGCGGTTGGGACTTTTTGAATTTTTGCGCGCGCGCCCAAGCTCCGATCTCTTCGCGCATCTCGCATCCCCGTTTCTTGCTTTGCATCCTCGCGCCATCTTCCCTTCTTGCTGCGCGCATTTTCCCCATGTCGGACTCTTCGTCTTCCCCTCCGCCCAGCTCGATCCTTACCCCGCGAAGTGATTGGCTGCGTAGTTGGGATGCTCGGATCAATGTGGAAAGCGGGAAACCGCGCACCACTGGGACGAACACCCCAATCACGTAGCCATGCAATCCCGCGGGTCGAACCCTCGAACTCCCCACCTCTCTCTCCTGTCCTGCTCATCTACACCCTGCGCTGCCCGCACCTCGCGCTGTTAACCCGCCGCCTCCCGCGCTATAAATTTGCGCAACCCTCTCCTCTCCTCCTCTTTGATCTCGGCTGCAATGCTGTGCGAGCTATGCGCGAGAGTTCGCGGCGCCGAACAGGCTTGACGAGCCCAAGGACGGGCGGAGTGACGACGTGGGGTGGACCCCGCAGCAGTCTCGGGGCGAAGCAGTCGGAGGGACCRAGCAGTGGTGGGGATTGGACGCCGGCCGCGGCARGGCCTTGTGGCTATGGTRGTCGGTGGTCTWGGGAAGTTTTGAAGGCTGCGCCTGGGGGCAGCAGTTAATTGAAATTTTTGTGTACAASAAGAACTCGCTTTTATCTCAATTGCTGCTTTGTCTCTGCCTATCGTGTGTGTGAAGCCCCGAGTGATGGGAGCTGGTTATGCGCATGAGTGACGTCGAAGGTCCATGGATGATTAGATGTCCTGTCAA